CACGTTCATGAGGTTCGGAGTTCCATATATAACGCACAAAAACAAGTAGCTGGCACAGACCTTGTACGTCAGTAGATTCATGTAGTTGTAAGGAGAAAATTGTACTTTCACAAACTCTTTGAAGTAGCTGATTTTCTATCCATCGAGACATTTCATCAATCCTACGCATGACCGTGTTATTAGAAATAGGAATTGTTTCAATTTCTTGTTCACTCTTATCACCAAAGAAAACTTTAACTGTATCTTTTATATCTGGAAGAACTAAAGTCTCTCCAATTGTATGTGGCTTACCAGCTTTCGCGATTCTCAAACTGATCAGGTAGGACACGTACAAAGATTTTTCATTAACTTTGGTGTAACGTTGCATACAACAACAGCCTGGCAATGAAAGCCCGAGTCTTGAACTATCTCGACAGACAGCATTTAATCGAAGCTAATGCGTAATTCTAGTATAACTTTTTACGACCCACTAACATTCCGCTTGCGACCCACCAGTGGGTCGCGACCCATAGTTTGGGAAACGCTGATATAGAGCACGCATTAACTTATCACACGACTTATTGCACTTTCATCAGGATAATGTACATAAGCTCTGCTTTCCTGTAATAATCTAGTTTTTTTGACAGTCTTGCTGTTAACTTCACTCCCTGTGAATTCCTAAGCAAAGTTAACTTTTATGCTAATGTTTCTACCAGTAATTGAAAAATGTACAACTTCTATGATGGTATATTCAGGGTTTAGTCATCATCCCCTAAGCAGAGAGATGATTTGAAAGTAGGTGTGGAAAACAGAGAAATATGACACATAAGACTTCAAGGCTTGCAATGCATAGCATAAAACTGAAGTGTTCCTTGCCTTATTGATCCAAAACCCTGAAGGTACCATCATAGCAGTTGCAGAACTTTTAATTACTGGTAAAAGCATTACCATAAGAGTTAACTTTGCTTAGGATTCAGAACTCACATACGACACATCTAATTGGACCTTACTTCTCAGTGGCCTCTGACTTCGGACCCGTTGCCATGCAGCATAACTATTGTTCATCACTCTTGAGTTTCTGGTAAGTTGATGTATGATCTGCATTGTGCCAAGGACATTCGGAAACAAAATTCACACTGTTGATGACAGCATGAGAGCAACTCAACAAGGAAAACTTTTAGTATTTTAGAAGAATGTACTTGTTTGAAATTTATTTAATTCTAAAAATGTAACATTTCTGAGGTGGAAAGCATTTATTAAACTGGTATAGGTTAACATAAAATTTGCCCCAGAGATAAAAAATTTGACTTATGGTTACATCCAAAACTAGTGTTGTAGAAATGTGTGTAATGAGAAAAAAGGCTTTCAAATTTAACCATATTTATTTTGACTCACATTAACTAATGAAATTTATGTAATCAATAAAATCGTAATGAAAGTTCTAATTTCCTTTTGTAATACCAAACTAACAAGTATTTTCTGTACAGTTTTAGTTTTAGATAATAATGATGAACTGAGAGAATTATATGACCAGAGAGCAATGCCTAAAATTCGGACATTCAAAGTTCCTGTGAGTAATGGCTATAGTAAGTACATAATTAAGTATCATTATAATTATGTGGCCAAAATGACTTTAAGAATATGAATAGTTAGTTATTTATGTTATATTTAAAAATAAAAAAAACGTGAGAGAAAGCATGGCATACATGATATTTAAAAATCAGCAAACATATATTTCTGATGATGAAAAATATGTTCCAGTTAAACAATGTTACATATTTGATATTTTCAATACATTTTATTATTCAAGTGGGATAGGTTTGCACTCTACCTTCTGCTTAAATATATAATTCCATACTGAAAAATGTTGTTGCATGTAGTGTGTTTATTTTGATTTTTATTCACTGGTAAGAGCATTGTATTTAATCTACATGTGCTTACCTTAGGAAGTGTGGTATGTTTAATTTGTATTTTTTTTTCTGGAGGGGAGTAATGTTTTGTGTCTTTTATGATAAGTGAATTGTGTTGATTTCACACACACACACACAAAAACACACAAACATATGTATATTTTTTAGTAAGTATGATTTGTTTATTTGGTATCTTGAGAGTGTGAGTGGTGTGAGTTTTGTTCAAGCTCAGCTATTTACAATAATATTGTAAATAGCTACTGCAGTAATGATATAGGGGTTATTCTATAAAAAATTGCAGTTTTTTTCAATGTATGGGAAAGTTAATATGAATTTGGTTTGATTTTGGACTAAAAAGTTAGCATGCCAAGTTTGGTCTGGATCAGTTGACTCGTTTAGGAGAAGATGTGCCCACAGATGGAGAGAAAATTTTCTTTAATATTGGACAGTTACTGCACTGGTATGACTTGATACTGTATTGCCCTTAATTAACACCCTCGGGGGCATTGCAAACTGCAAAAGGGGGATTGATTTTTCACATGTGATTTGTTGATTTCAATGCTAATAAGTGTGTATGTTTGTTTTTCTTCTTTTTTTTTCAAACCAAAATTATGGTAATAAAAGTGGATCATATGTTGGTCTGTGGATTTACAACACAAGAAACCGGGTTTTGATACCCGTGGTGGGCAGAGCACAGATAGACCTTTGTGTAGCTTTGTGCTTAAGTACAAAAAAACAAACAAACAATTATATGTTGCATTGCTATTGTTGTCAAAATTACAGTAGAGGATTACATGTTGTATTACTATCACTGTCATACAAGGTAAGCATTATAAAAATACCGGGGGGGGGGGGATATTTAGAGAGGGGGGCTTTAACTAGGGGCAATACAGTAGGTATAGTGCATACATGAAGAACACCTGTATCCCAATTTTTATACTTAGCTTGGCAAAGCTGGGAAACAATTATTTTTAGGTTTAATCATGTATGTGTGCATTTCAAATATTCTGCTAGAAATGTTTTATTCATTTTTATCTTTTTTTCTGGTAGTAATGTTGTGATAACTTTGTTATGTTTTTGGGTGGTGAAATGAGTTTATTATGTATTTCCTTTTTAAGTTTGACATTTTTATTCTGCAAATGTGTGGTAGGATTGTTATGTTTTTCTTATTTTTATGATCTAATTAAGTGTGTTTCACTTATTCTTTACCTTTTTGGTAAATGTATGATCTAATTAAGTGTGTTTCACTTATTCTTTACCTTTTTGGTAAATGTGTTGTTTTATACCTTTTTTATCTTCTTGATATTGTGTTTTGTTTACTTTTTATCCTTTTTGTTGTTTATTCTTTTATCTTAGAAACTGAAGCATGTTTGTTTTCAATTTTAATTTTTATTATGACAGTTTTTCTTTTTGATATTTTTTGAAAGTTATATAATGTTGTTTGTGTATGTTCTTCTTGATAGGTGCTATTGTGCGATTGTTTCTTCCTCCTGAACTACGTGATGATGAAATCACCAAGTACCCAATGCTGGTCTATGTGTGAGTATTTATTTTCTTTAGAAGCTGTGAATGTGCATTGCTGTTTAGGCTAAGATTGGAAAAACGTCTTTGAAAGGTAATTCATAGACTGGTACAACTAGGTTTAAAATTCATCTTTATATATTTGGATGTATGATTAGATTATCATTTTGTGATATAGCAGTGGGTTTATTTTAAATATATTCTACGTACGTCTTAAAGTTTTCTGAATAAGATTAATTAATACTAAATTAACTGGCATGAAATAAAACTTAATTTATTAAATACATTAATATTGAGGTCAATGTAGTACTAATTCTACAATAGAGTTTTATAATATCTTCAAGATTATTGTGTGTTTTATGGCAGGGATTTAAATCACAGTAGAATGTCTGAGTTTAATCAGGTCATAATTTATCTTGTCTATACCAATTTACTTTTATTTGTTTATTCATGAGCTGCAATATTACAATTTCTTTTTTAAAACCTAATTTTAGCTATGGTGGTCCTGGCAGCCAGCTTGTCACAGAGAAGTTTGGAGTAAATTGGGGAACTTATCTTGCCAGCCAAAAGAGTATTATATATGCAATGATTGATGGTAGAGGAAGTGGGAACCGTGGTGAAAATATCTTGCATGAATTATATAAAAATCTTGGAAGTGTAGAAATACAAGATCAAATAAATGTTGCAAGGTAACAAAATTAAAAAGTTGTAAAAATAAGAAATTTTTTTCTAGTAATATGTTGCAGTGCACATAAAGTTTATTCTAGTTACTGAGCTCTTCAGTCTTTGTTTTTGGTGGGCATTCTTTGTTTGTTAATACACATTCAGACTTTTTTATGTCAGTATTACTTGATAGCGTATATAAGAATACTAACTTTAAATTTATAAAATGTCACTTTTTTAACATATTTCCTGTAACAATTTACATTTCTTTACATTTTCTTTTCTTACACTGTATATAGTAGTTATGTGATAGAAATAAGTTATTTTTATATAGATTTTTTGACTGTTATAAACAATATTCACTTTCCTACTTATTTACTTCCTACTAATATAAATAGTAGGCCCGGCATGGCCAGGTGGTTAGGGTGCTCGACTCGTAATCTGAGGGTCGCGGGTTCGAATCCCCGTCACACCAAACATGCTAACCTCCGCCTTTGCCTGGTCCCAAGTCCAGGATGAGAAAGGAGGAGGGTTGGGTGCGGGGCTATCAACTCCACCCCGTAAAAACCAACCTGCTACAAGTAACTGCAACAACAATTTCCGTTGGCAAGGTGTTGTTGCGGCCCTATGCTCCACTGGAAGTTTACAGGAATAAAAAAAATATATATATATATATATAAATAGTATCATTTTATATCTGTTCTCTAATGACCAACCAATCATAAGGTTTTAGGAAGACAGTGGTGTGTACATTCATATTGTCCTGCAAGTATGCCAAGTATTGGCATAACATTTTCCCAAAATTAATCCATGTATTAAACTTTCATTATGTAGTTGTTGATTTATAAAACATCAGAATTTATGGCTGTTCATGATACTAGCACTTTTTAAGATACAGATTTTTTTTTCTTTGTAAGAACTATTAGAGGATCTGAAACAATATAATAAAAATTTACATCACCATTTATGCTTTGTATTTATCCAAAACTAACTACAATGTAGTTAGATATATAATATTCTGTGTTGTATCAATATATTGCAAGCTTTTGTAATCATATTTCTAATCTTAGCAGTAAGTTGATGAAACAATGCATTGTTATTATTATAATAAGAACAGTATACTTAATTATCTTTACTTATTACAGGATTGAATTTGGTTTGTATCTAAGTAGGTAACTTGTTCTGAATGGGAGTTAATATTAAATATCTTAAATTTTCCAACATAGGAGTAAAGCATCTTCCTGAACTTTTTATTCATTTTTTTCCCTAGTTAATATAAAAAAGTTACTCAAGAGAATAGGTATGGATGTTAAATATAGTTTTCAAGAGCCACTCGAAACCTTCGACTGTGCAACAGGTTCTACAAATAGCATTATAAAGTGCACATACATCAGTGATGCATTTTCTGACGAAACATATTCAATGTTGTGTTTTGTGGTACTTTAAGTCCATAATTTTTCATGTATTCTGCCAGAATTATTTTCATGATTTCATAATAATTATCACTGTACCTTATAAAACTTAAATTTCATTAATTTTATGGCTAATAACATAATTTGGATTAGTTTTCAGCCAGAGAGACATAAATGTTATTGGATGTTGTCACTGTCCGATGGGTAAATCAGGATTTTCAGTCAGATGCTGGCAGTGTCTCCTGAGGTTTAAGGAGTTAAAAAATCTCTCTTTAAAGAAAAAAAATTGTTAATGAACTTTCTTATATTTTTGAATGAAGTTTCAAATGCTCTTCTACAAAAAGTGAGAGATGTAGCAAATTAATAGTTTGTAGTAACTATTTCACACATATAAACTCAGATATTGTATTTACCCTAGAAATCTTAATTTAACTAGCAGTATTAAAAAAATGTACAAGCAATCTCATGTGAAATATAAGATACAAGAATTTCAGATAAGTTTAATTTCACAAATTAATCATTGTTTCAGATATTTGAGGAATGATTTACCATTTATTGACATGGAAAAAATTGCAATCTGGGGGTGGTCTTATGGAGGATATGCCACAGCTATGGCTCTTGCTGCCGATACAGGTGTTTTTCAGTGTGGAATGTCTGTAGCTCCTGTTACTAATTGGCGTTACTATGGTGAGACAAAATTCTCTTATTAGTGGAGAGTCAACTTTTTCTTAGAATATGAAATATCATAAGCTTTTGATTAACAGAAAATATTGTCATTAATCATTTTTTTAATGATCATAATAATATTATGTAAAATCAGGAAGATTAGTTATAAAATAACAATTTTTGTCTGTTAGGTAAGAATATTGTGTAACTATATAACCTGCTTTCATTTACTATGAAAGGGGCAACTAAGGAGATCATTTTTTTTTTGATAAATTTTTGTTCTTATATATTAACCAGAAGATTGTCTGGCATGGCTACAAAATGTATCAACTGAGATTAAAAAAAAGATTTAAAATGGCATTACTTATGTAACATCTTAAATTCACTGGACCTACTTAGGTTTACTATACACTAAATAGAATCAGATAAGATCATGAAGGCTTAATTTGTGTTACAGATGTAACGAAATATATCCACTGAAACAGTCGAACAGGAGTTAAAAGTTGTCAACAATTTACAATTTAACATGTAATTCTAAAGTTTTAATTATGGATCATAAAAAAACTGGTTCAGCATTTCTAATAAGGTTTTCAACTGCTTTCATTAGATTCTGTTTATACCGAACGTTACATGAAACTTCCTAAGGAAAACTTCATAGGTTATGAGAAGTCTAACTTACTGAAGAAAGCTGGAAATATCAAGGGCAAAAAATATCTTTTGATCCATGGAACAAGTGATGGTAAGACACCAATTATTATATGCAAAAAAAGCTGTGTTGCTTTATCCTCAGAATCACAGTTTTTTATACACTTTGCAACTATCATTATTTCATTATTAAAATAGGATTAATAGATATACAAGATGTAATCTAAAGTTAAAAATTTCATTCTAAATTACACTAACTATTCATAGCAAGTTTCACATTCAGTACTACAACCACTATTTAAAATAAGTCTTAATGTATGTACCTGTTTCACAGTCTATAATTAAAACAGATTTCACTGTGTATAATAAAATTAATGATAAAGAAAGATTTCACTGTGTATTCTACAGTTGATGCTTGAGACAGGTTTCACTGTGTATTCTACAGTTGATGCTTGAGACAGGTTTCACTGTGTATTCTGCAGCTAGTGCTTGAGACAGGTTTCATTGTGTATTCTACAGCTAGTGCTTGAGACAGGTTTCACTGTGTATTCTACAGCTAGTGCTTGAGACAGGTTTCACTGTGTATTCTACAGCTA